CTCTCTCTCTCTCTCTCTCTGAGTGTGTGTGTAGGTGTCTCTCTGTCTGTGCCTCATTCTGTCCAAGTTTGCCTTTGCCTGTCTCACTGTCTCCGTCTCTTTATCGTACACAGTGTCTATGTCTCTCTGTGTGTTATATCACTTTCTGTCGCCCTCTGAGCCGGTCTCACCGTCTCTCTGAGTCTCCGACACGTCATCTCCCTGTCTGCCTAACAGTCTGTCTCTCTGTGCGCATCGCGCATGCATACGCTTGTCCTGGGGCATCAAGCGGCAACGGTGAGCAACAATGAGTCCCGCAGGTCGTGAGTAGTTTAAATTGAAATGGATTCTGCAATTTCCAATCAACGCCTCCGAATGGAAGGGTGTGGTGGGGCGAGGTCAGCTGGTGACGCCTTGGGAGCAGCGCGCGCGTGCTCTGGTCGCGTCGCTTGGGCCCTCCGCCCCTCGGAGGCCTCCCTCTGCGCCTGCGCTCGAGACCGGCCGGAGAAACTTTGGCCTAGACAAGCGATGGTTGAGTTTGGGCTTTATGTTTTTTTATAATGTTTTTTGTTGTTTTTCACACAAATAAAGTACTAAATTTGGACTTCTTTATATCTGGATGTTGACTTTCCCAGGAACAGGTCCTGCGTCTTATCCACGTGCGGAAAGGAACGCAAGTGATTTGTGATCACTCCACAGCCTGTATATAATATATATTTGTCTTCTGTGCCGGTAGGCAACAAGAGAATTCGCTGGCCTACGTACAACGTGCAAGCCTCTAGTACGAACACAGAATGCTACTGCTGTTCGCTCGCTTTGCAGCATAATACAGCCCCGCATGCTCCTTTCCCGAGAGTGCGGTGCGAAGCGAGGCAGCTCCCGGGTGTTCCTACCCTGAGTGGGAGAAGCGCGTCTCCGGGGGAAGAGATGAGACTTTGCACGGCACATTGGCCGATAGAAAACGCTTCAAATGGAAATATAGCTCGTGCCACGATAATGAAATGTTCATTATACATTTCCAGATTAATATTACTGACACCATTATAAAATGTTAATTGTTTATTTTTTATTAATATTGTGAAATGTATTAAACTAGGACATATTCATCAGGGTAGGATGTACCTACTTTACTACTCCAAGGAGACGACACTGGTGGGAAGTAATGTTTGCATGCCTTTGTCAGCTTCTAATGTTTCACACGGAAAATGTTCAACAGTTTCCATTTGCAAACATTACTTGTAACAAACACAAAGCAAGACCCTATCAAATATATATTTTTCGTATGATATGATGTGTGCCTCGAATAATCAAGATGTGCACGATTTTTTTTCAAAATTTAAATGATTCTTAAATAGAAATGAAAAAAAATATTCAACGCAACATGTTGATAAAGGTATATAATTGCACTCGTTATAATAAAGAAACTAGTTCCTATCGTTACACGTTTTCTTCAGCATACCGCACATGCTATTATACCCCTTTTTATCCACCAGTTTCGTTAATTACTACAATCTAATTACAAATGTTGGTACATGGGCAGCCAAATTAATCCAAGTTTGTATCCACGCTTCGAGCATCTCCGCTTTCGCTGCTCTTCTAGCATTAAGCTAAAATCCCGACCACTAGTAGCAATTTGTGCCACCACCTGCAGCCCACACAATAAGTTAAAATTTACTTTACAGTAACGTCTGAACCAATGCGTCCGCATTTTCGATCTCTATACGGCATTTACGCATTTTTAAAATAGAATTACCGCTACGAAGCCCTTCTCCAAAAATCTTAGCAAATCTTTGAATGAAATATAGTTCTACAACTTTCCGAGAAAAAATTTAAAAATTGGGCTTATACGCGCGTTGGCACATGCTTCCTGAATCAACGCCGTGACAATCATGAATCCCGGAGAATAGGAGCGTCGTAAAGTGAAAATTTACGAAAACCACCTCGCCCCCTTCCTTCTTCGTGTTGCGTCACCCATCGATTGTTGTGGGCCTCTGTCGCGCGGGGCACGACCAGGCCGCGGCGTGCGCCAGCCCGGCGGAGCAGCGGACTTGCGGGATACGCAAGCAGACAGTCGTTTCGGCTTTTCGTCTCTTTGCATCTCGTCTATTTTTCCCAGATATCCAAATTAGAGAGCTTACTACTATCACTGACTGAGGTAAACGATCTGTAATAATTAGTACGTAACTATATTTTCACATATTTCGTCTTCCTTCGAATAGACGATTTACAAATTGTTTCAGGCAATACTCAAAATCATCGATTCCCGACTTGGACAGGTTTTTTAAAAAAATGGACTAATTTTGTAAATATAACCATTATTCCATCCCCTCACATCTTATTTTAGATATATTTTACTTCTAAGGTTTTGTGCTAACATTCCACCTAGCTCTAAGATGTTCCGGGTTCAAATACCGGAAAGAATGAGCGGATCCTGCTCCACGTCCACGTGTCTTTTGCGTCTGTCATCAATTTGATGAGTCAAACGCACGATACATTTATTTTTGGACAAGGGATAGTCGTTTCTGAGGACCACATCTAAGGAATCAGAAATAAACACCTCCTTACTAAATCAGTGAAGTCAGTTGAATGCCAACAATAAACTATTAAGCTTGTTGATATGAACATGAAATTTAGATGCAAG